TTATAACCGTCCATCCGAACCGCTCGAAACACGCGTCTAGGCTTAATTTCAACATGCACGAATTGAAAGATATGATTCCAGCAGTTGTAGTCAAGGTATTATTTCCTAGCTTTATACCCGCAGTAGATAGAGATAATTTATAATATGTTTATGTATGTAGGGTCTTCCAACAGTCAACAGAGCGGTTATAGCTAGGCAAGACAAAGGAGGTGAATCTTCTTACAATTTGTGCGTAGAAGGTGACAATTTGAGAGATGTCATTGCCACTTACGGCGTGGATGGACGTAAAACATTCTCCAACAATATAATTGAAGTTTATAATACTTTGGGTATTGAAGCCGCTAGGTACGTTTAGTTTTCACTTACTTAAATTATAATTGTTAATAATTTGATATTAATTATTTTATTTTGATTGCAGACAAACTATCATGACCGAAATCAAAATGGTAATGGAAAATCACGGAATGAGCGTGGATTACAGACACATTATGTTATTGGCCGCACAAATGACGCACACCGGAGAAGTGTTGGGTATAACCAGACACGGATTGGCCAAAATGAAACAGAGTGTGCTGAATTTGGCATCGGTGAGTATATGGTTTTTGAATTTTTATGGTAAACGGAAGACATGTGTGTGTGTGTTTATTTTTAGTTCGAGAAAACCGCTGATCATCTTTTCGATGCTGCCTACTACGGTCAAACGGACAAGATCAGCGGCGTTTCAGAGAATATCATCATGGGAATGCCGGCACCGATCGGAACAGGTATATTCAAGTTGCTGCACAAACCACAGGAAGTCGACGAGAAACCGGAATCTTTGCCTCTGTTATTCGAGACAGCTTGCAGCTAATATTTATTGAATTCATATTTTATCGTTATTTTAAACGTGTATCAAATGTTAAATATATTATTATTATTATTAAAAAAAAATCTGTCCTAATTAATTTATATAAGAAAAATAATATATTTTAAAGATCAATAACTTGATATTATCATCTAAAAATAACTTTGTAATTGGGATTACCAATTACCCTTTTTGCTCCAGTGTTCTTCAGATAATTTTTTTTGAAGAGTTTTGATCAATTAATGTAATGTAAAGTAATAAAAAGATGTAGTATGAAGATGTTTATTTAAATGTTGTTGTTAGTCCCAGTGGACTTGTTCTGTATATAATCTAAAACACATGTGCATTATTATTTTTTAGTATAAGTAATTATTTATTAATATACACAACTTCTAATATATGATATTAGTGTTCAATTTGAGAATAAGAAAAAAAGATGAGTTTGTATAGATGTTAATAAACAATCAAATAAATTAACTGTCCTAAATCATTGTTCACTTGCGGTGCTGCACCATTTCTCTGATATTGTTCTCAGCCTCTTTCAGGTTCCTCTCCAGGTATGCCTTGTTGTTTTCCAGATTCTTAATCTTCTCCTCAGCACTATCCTGCTTCTTCTTCAGGTTGCTCTTGACATCATCAGATGATGTCAGTATGAACATACGACCAACTGCTTCATACATCACAGTCTTTGAGTCTAAAGTGGACAATTCCCTGAAAAGTAATTGGATAAATCAATAGAGGATGCTGGAAATATGGGGATGACGTGCTTACCTCTCGGTGATCGATGCGTGCTGTTTCGCTCTCCTCAAAGTATCTATTTGTAAGTCGGATAATTTTAACTTTTGCGACGTTTCAACGTATTTCTGCTGGAGCTCGCCGAACGCCTGCAAAACCACACATTTCAATTACCTATACAAAGTGAATTCTAATAGAATTTCTCACCTTCTTCAATTCCAGATCGACTTTAGACATTTTATTTCTTTTGTAATATATTGGTTATCCAAATAAGTTAATTTAAGGTTATTTCTTGAAATACTGCAATGAAGTTCAACGCATTTGCGGCAACTCATGAATCATTGTCCGAAAGAGTCTATGGCAATCTTCGGGATGTTCCGGTTGCCTTGCGATGATGCACGATTCGAAATTAGAAAGTTTCTTGACTTCAAAATTTTGTTTTTCATACGCCCACATAAACAATATTTTAATTCAATTATAAGAACAAATTACATTTGGCTGCAATTCACATCAATTTTTTTTTTCTAAGAAACTATAATAGATAGATTGGATTCAAAAGATCCATATGAAAGTTTGAAAACGTGAAAACTCGTCGGATCTCAACGAAACAGCGATTTTCAAGAAAATCCAATAGTTTCCTTGAAAAGGTGAGGTATTCTGCTTTAATTGTGTTGCTAAATTGGATTGAGAATGAAATTAAAATTAAAATGAAATGTTGTAATTTCAGCATTTTGGCGCTGCATGAAATCCATTTCCTTGATAACGTTCTAATTTTAATAAACAAACACATTAACGTTAGGAAGTGGATTTTGTGCAGTGTCAAAATGGCTGAACTACAACCTTTACATTATTGCTTATAGATGGCGCCACTTGTTATAAAAGGGAATATTTATTATTCGCCTAAAGTATAGGCAACCAAACATACATACAAAATTTGATAGACAAATAGGAAAACAACGTCTTAGATAATGGTCTGTATTTTCGTAAACATGAGCTCCCAGAAGAATATTATACATGAATGTTGATCTTGAATATACACGGATTAAAATGAGCTTAAATTTTAATATGTAGCTGCAATGGTGTCTTCATAATTGATTATAAACTTTTGTATTTCAGATATGAATTGGGGAAAATAACGTCTTTGAAAATGGCTTGTATTTATGGCTAATATTGATGTACTAAATATACAGAGATTAAAATAAATACAGGCTTGTAGCTACTATAACTTGCTCACAATTAATTATCAAACTTTGGTATAGTTTTCGGAAATGATCTGTATTTTCCTAAACATTTCTAGAAGAATGTTGAACATAAATGTTGAAGTAAAATATAGAGAGATTAAAATAATTAAAAATATAGATTGATAGTTATATAAAATGCTTTTAGTCTCTTTTTGAGGATTTGATAAAAATTAGCATTTTAGTTCTTCCAGTATTTTCAACGCATCTAGCATTCAGAAATGTTTTGTAGTCTCTAAGGACCATGTATGAATCATGGGTGCTACAGGGTTCATAGTTTTTATCCATCTTCTTAATAAAGTAATATTTTTGGTCACTTTCAGCAGTTAAGGTTTTCACTATTTGCAAATGAAAACTGCTAGTAAAGAATCATGAACGCATTAAAGCTTAACAACTTTCTTATTAATTGACCAAAACTAACGTATTTTATATCAAACGAAAGCAAAATAATTATTCTTTAAAACAGTAAATTAAAATTTTCTAATATATATGAATATAACCATTTACTTACCTATTTTTTTCAATTTGCTGCAAAACCTTCACGTTTTTTTAAATTAATCGATTACCATTCGTGCTAATTAAGCCATCAAATACGTAAATTAAAGACAAAACTACAATCTTTTTTTAAGAAAATCCTATTGACTTTTTTTGCAATGATGTTTATGATTGAAAATTGAATGGAATGAACAAAATAGGTAATTAAAAGTCGAGTAAAGATTCATAATTGTATATTATTAGCACTGAGAAACGTGTAACGTTATATAATATTACAAAGTCAACAAAAAAAAAATTAAAAACGAAAAAAAAAGAGTCGTAAATCGAATGGAGGAATACACATAAATTCGGGAATATTGAACACTTCAAAGAAACTACCGTAAATAGATTAGAATATTCTTAAATATTTATACAAGTAATAATATATTTATGAAAAGATTGTCTATGATGCAATATATATTTTTTTTATTAATATTATTAATATAAGTTGTTTGTTGTTGATCAGCTAGTTACTTATTATTTTCTTTTACAAACACTTTCTTTATGGGATATAGCATATTGCGAGAAACATGCAACGTACGTTAAATACAAACAAAGAGGAAAAAGAAAGGAAAAACGAAAAAGGAATATACACGAAATCATTTACGTACGTCACATTCTGCACGTGAATCATTTTTATCATTAGATTGGATACATATATAAGTATTTATATATATATAACTAAACTAAGTATTTTATTGGAGATATCCAAGTAATACACGATGGAAGATTAAAAAAAAACGTTTCCATAGGCAACGGGGGGAACAAAATGTAGAATGTCAGTTTTATTTTATTTAATTTAATTGATATGTTTGCAAAACACGTATATTTCATTTTGAAGTCCTTTCAATCATATATTATTATCGTTTTTTTTTTAAATAAATTATTTAATGAACATTCTTTCAGTCTCGAATATGCGAATTACGTTTAATTTCATAATTTTTTAGATTCGTTTCATCTGACCCGATTTCGTATTTGAATTATTGATTTCATTTTCAATATGAAAATAAAATAAAAATGACATATTCATTGCGCCAGAGGAGCGCAAACTATATAAAAAAAATGGTATTGATTGATAATTCGAAGAATTGTTTAAATTTACAATTTGCACACCTCTGCGATGTAAAGACGTACAGTATAATAAAATAGAAGTAGTAGTAGTACCATTGTGTTAGAATCAAAGAATATAAGTATTTTTATATGTGTGTGTATATATATTAAAAGTATTTGGTATATTGTTAAATTGGATCTAACTTTGATCATTTGCTTTTATACTGTTAAATACTTGTAAAATAGAATAGAAATGCATATTACAATGTATTTATATATTTGAATATATCGAAACATCTACAGAGTGTTTCCAACATACAGAGTTGTTCATAGATTCTCGGAGAGGATTAAGAGTAAGAAAGCTTATCAATATCGTTATATAATTCTAAAATGGATGAACACTCCTAAAAAAATGAAATTTGCACTAAAATTATTATTATTATTACAACTTTTCAAAACATTTATAATCATTCTAAACTATGTTCTTGCACAAAATTCGTATCAATGATAGCTCTAACTTGCACTTCTAAGTATTGTTTTTCATTTTTTTTTTTGGTAATTACTTCAACTGTCTATTTGACTTATCATATTCATATACTTTTAAATTCAATTTAAACACTAACTAACTTGATCTAATACTATATTTATGGAATATTTTAAAATCGTAATAAGTAAAAATCGCCACGGAACAACAGAAAATGAATAAAGTTATCGTTGCGCGCGGCTTTAAGATTTGGACCATAAACGTCAAAGTGACAAAACATTTAAAAAATAACAATAATAACAAACGCCAATATTTGGCATTAAATTTGACACATAAGAATATTTAATGGTTAGTTTAATCACAAGATTGTTATTTTTACCTTCGAACCTAACCTAAAGTTTACTTGACGTAAAATTCAGATGACAGTTAAAAAAGTACTTGATAGAAATACAATCCAATTAGAATTATACTGATTTTTTGCTTCAATTTTCGGATTTTGTGTGCATATTGTTAATTCATTGATAAATGCGAAATCATTAAATCGATTTAGCGTTTTTTTATTGTTTAATTTGTATCGACGCGCTCGAAATCCATTTGGAAACACTCCGTAAACGAATAAACGCGTAACGCACTTAAAAATAATTACACATATCATCTTTTTGTTGTTGTTGTTGTTGCTGTTCATAAGTAACACGTTTCTTTGGTTTCGGTATTAATAGTCTAATCGGATGTTGTTTACACAATAAACATACATCTGCAATAAAGACAACACGAATTTGCACCCGCAAATTCTGAAGCGCGTAATAAGTTTTTGTTCTTTTCTTTTTGGTTTACAATCATCATTTTTTTTTTGTTATATAGCATAGTATAGAAAAATAGAATTTAGTTGGAAGAAATCATTAACTAAAGTCTACATCATTACATATACATGATTCTTGTTTTACACGGTCGACCGCTAAAATTTCATCGCTACACCGAAGAATCGGATAATTACTATTATTGTTAAAACTACTTTTCCTTCATCCTTCCACTTCTTCTTCATCGTTTTTTTTGGTTCCTAATCGGAGAACTTAATTTTTACTAAAAAATACGCGAAGGAATCTTCGCATTTCAACAATAACGTAAATAATAAACACTTAAAAACGTGTTTAAATAATAATTACGATGGAACGAGATTAAATTATAATCAAAGTCTACCAGTTTCCGTAAAGAAATACGTGGGAAAAGGTAGTACACTTAAAACGAGGTATGTTTAGTATGCTCGTGGTTGAGTGTGTGTGTGTGTAAAAAAATCGATAATTCTTAACAAAAAAATAATAATATATAATAAAACAGTAGTAATGTGTAGTGTGTTGGTTGGGAGAGAGTCCTTTTAGATGTGTTGGATGAATTCCGGGTTGAGAAATGAGAAGCCCATGAATTCGGTTTGATCTAAATTCATCATGAACAGTTTATCTGTGGGCGTCAGGTCCGTCTTTTCGGATGTGAACTGCTTGTCGAAGTTGCTCACGTCTTTGCGATGTTTCTGTAAGGGTAAAATTAGGTGTTAGATTTGGAAATTTGCGGATTCGGATTCGCTTACGATCTTCGGTTTGAATGGTGGCTGAACCTCGCGATTCTCTATTTTCGCCCAATCGATTCTTCTGAAGAACGCGTGACCTCGCACGTCCTCTTCACCGTGACCTCCGCACCCCAAACGCTTAGTGGGATTCTTTGTTAATAACTAGAGCAGAACACATATTCCACATAATATATTTATAAATTAATGCAAAACTGAAAGTTATTGAATATTAAAGAAACATTATTTGTTAACAACTAGAAATAAAAAAAAAGTTATTGAAAGTATATAGAAAAAAGCTGTTAAAAAGTTTAACGTTGCGTGAAAAGAGATAAGGGGATTGTATGGAAAATTACGTTTTGATGGAATAGAGGGATTTACGCTAGAGCTGCGGAAAATTCGACGGAATATGGAATAATAAGTGGATTAGAAAAGGAGGATTTACGAGTTCTATAAGTCGTAAGTGAAATAGGGTAGGCGCTCATTGCCTTGGCCTAGTATTGATTAAATTACGTTTCCACGAAAAAAAATATAGAAGTGCCATTATAATAATAGTACTTTGGGAATTAATGATACTTGTTTTTATGTTTTAATCAATACTTTATAGATATTTCTTAAACGTCTAAAGTTTCTATTCGAATTTTCACTTTATTACATGGAAAAACGAATAATTATAAAAATTTTACAGTTGTAAAAAAGTCAAGCTATGATTCTGAGAAGATTAAAGTCAAATTCTAATCCTCTTTGCAAAACTTCTGAAGTTATATTTCAAAAACGTTCGTAAATGAGTAATACATTTAACCAGAAGTAATCAATGAAATTCGTGAGAATATAAATTTATTTACTGCAAACCCTGATAATCGACGCTATGGTTTTGACAAGATCAAATTCTACTCCACTTATGAATTTATATTTAAAAAAACGTTCATAAATGAGTAAAATTATCCATTGGGATAATCAATTGGGTTTCAACATTTTGATTATGAGAAGATTAGAGTCAAATAGTACAAGAAACAAATAGATATCCATCAATTAAAGTAGTCTTTAAGAATTCTTCAGTTTAGTTCATTAGTAAATATGAATATAAAAATACTATATGAACTGTAAGAAATCAACGTAATATTTTGTTAAAAAAAAGTACATTTTAATTGTTAATTTTTAACTTTATTTCTTTTGTGTTCATCCAAATTAATTTAAATTATTGGTGGGAAATGGTTATACCAATTTGACATTATTAAGTTTTCTTCTCATTTTAAAATGATAATACAAAATAATTTATGCAAAGTCATATGAGATGTCTACAAAGTTTGGTATTTATTTCTTGTATTTCTTATAAAGAATATTTCGTGAACTTTTCTAATTGTTTCTTCATTGGTAAATATTTTTGTAATCATGAATTTTCTCTAATATTTTAAAAATTGTAGTTAGAGATGAAAATATTATAGTTGATTTTTCTAAATATAGATTTTACTATCTTTTCCGATTCTACAAACTAAAAAATTCTGGACTGATATAAGAGACTTAACTCTTTGAAATTGATAAGAAAACTGTATTAAATTCTGCAGTGATCGACTACGTGAGAACCAAACAAAGCACGATTTGTGTGCACAGATCCATAACTTTGTTCCGAACAAGTCTGAACTAATCAGACTTGTCAGTTGGAGGCGGCAATTAATGTTTAACGTTCGCTTCTAAACGGAATTGACGGGCGTTAATTTCGGGTGTCGCGCGCCATCCTCGCCCTTCGGCGCATCCTGACCTAATTAAACTTATTAATGCAAAGGTATCGAGCTCAATACACGAGCAGATATTTCAACAAGAGTTGTGACTTTATGCTGCGAGCATCGAAATAAGCGGATTATTTAGAAACGATCTCATCGCCAGATGTATCGTTCAATCTAGTTTGATAGTTAGTGAAGCCGCAAAACGTGCTTTTCCAAAATATGATTTACTTTGAGAATATGTGGATCAACTGATTAATGTGTTTTCGCATTGTTGTTTAGAAAATAAATAGAAAATATATAATACTTACGCCTTTGCAGACATCTTTTGCTTCCTTTGACAAACCCTTGGGATAACTGACGTTATGATCTGTAATCGCTGCGAACAATTCTTCCTCATCTTCGCCATCGAAAGGCGGCTGTCCGACCAACATTTCATACAGCAGAACACCGTAAGCCCACCAATCCACCGACTTTCCGTACGGCTGGTACAAGATGATCTGCAATCGGATGACCAAATTTAGTGGCGCGTTTCAATAAAAACGGCATTTGCAAATGACCTCAGGTGCTATGTAATCAGGCGTTCCACAAAATGTTTTTGTAGTTTTGTCGCCTGTAATACCCTCTTTACACATACCGAAATCAGCAATCTTTATGTGACCGTCTTGATCCAACAGCACATTGTCTAATTTGAGATCTCTGTAGACTATGCCTCTTGTATGCAAATAGAACAGACCTATGGCGATTTCGGCCGAGTAAAAGCTAGAAAAAAGAAATGGAAACAATTGCAAATTTACGAAAACGCATCGTCGTGAGGGCCGTACACAGCAACAGGTTCTTTAAACTTGCCGCACTGCTGGATTTGGAACATGAGATCTCCGCCGTTCACGTATTCCATGACGAAATAAAGACGATCCTGCGGGAAAACAGGAGATCAGATCAGAAGAATGCGTCTTGCGGAGAGTGCAAGAAGAAGGGTCAAGATTATGTATAGCTAAGTTACCATTGTTTGGAAACACGAGTGCAGTTGCACCAGGAAAGGTGGTTTATTCGAGAGAGCCAAAACCCGTTTCTCAACCATGGTGCACTCCACGTCGTCGTCTTGTATTATGATATCCTTCTTTAGGATTTTTATTGCGTACAGCTCGTCCGTTCCTTTCCGCTCTGCCAGCATCACCTACAAACATATAGATTACATAGCAAAAACCATTAAATAAAAGAAACGACCATTAACTTCACAGTAATCAGCGTGAACAAACCGCAATGAAGAACCTTGAGGAAGTAAGACATTAAACACGTAATGTCGAAATATAATATTTATAATATCAATTTAGAACTTTGAAAGAAAATAGTTTCAAACGATATGAATTAGAAAAATGCTGGAATGTTCCCATACTTGATTTTTAATTGCAATTAAAACTCTCCATTTATTAAACGATATTGATTTAAATTCTTGAATTTGATGTCACTTAATTTTGGATACTTTGTATAAGCATATTTTGGATTAATTGCAATTAGTAATGTATAAGAGTAAAGTAATTGGAGATGGAAAATAATCGAAATTAAGTGATTACTATATCGTTGCTATTGATTCAGCAAAGAGAGCCGCAGCCTTGCATAGCTCGAATTACACACAAATGCTTTCCATTCGCTATTTGCTCTAAATGTGAGTTAGAGTGAATCAATCGTCAAGACATATCACATAATTACTTTTCCGAAAGAGCCCTTTCCGAGGACCATCAAGAAGTTAAAGTCCGTGGCCCTAATGACGTCCTTCTTGCCCATATTATGCGGAACGTCTTTGTCCACGGTGATCGAAGGCTTCTTCGATATGGATGTCTTCTGCAACAAAAGAAAACAAATCATACCGGGTGGAGAACGACGAAAAATGTCGGTGAAATTTACCCGCATTGCGGTTTTTATTTGTGCTAAATCTACGCCCTCCTCCGGAACGGGAACATTGTAGAATTCGCCCTCCTCCTGCGTCAACAACTTAAACCATCCATCGGCAGGAGCTTTCAGCAGTTCAGAAATGCCGAAGGACAGAGATCCCATGAAGTCATTACGCGATGTCCTGTCCCAATCCCAGATCTCGATGAGCAGCCTCCGGTCTTTGTCCTCGGCCTTCAAATCGCTGTACATACAACGAATGCGCTTAACATCGTCAGGATTAAAACAAGTCTTTGCGGACTTACAACACTAGCGTTTCGTTCCAGACCGGGTTCAGCGAGGAGCGGATCGTCTTCGTTTTCTTCTTGACGTTGTCGGAATCGGGGATCAGTTTTAGCTTGACGTACGGATCGCTGGAACCGTTCGGATCCATCGGGATCAGATTTCTGCCCTGGCAAACTATTTAAAAAGAAAAGCGGATTTTGATGCGAACGAACCAATGGTGAATTTTACCTTCGACGGTCAGTTTGCTTCCGGTGCACGAAATTTTCAATTGCATGCGTCCCCTGCGCTCCGTATGATCGCATCCGCATAGATTAGGTACTGTTTCCTCGCATCGCTTATGAACATTCATATCGCAAGCTGCACAAATCCATTAGAAATTCATCTAGTTAATGGCAAACAATGGCAAACGTTGTCATCTAAACATGCACATTTCCAGTAGTAATCATAATGAACATATCGAGTACATCTCATTCATTATTGTCTTGCAATAGCAATCTTTCTCGACATACACACACATCTATAAATCAAGCAAAATTGATTGTATTTTTCATATTTATTTTTAATTTTATATTCAATTCTATACAAAACATATAAAGTTAAATAAATTGTAAGTATAAAATAATATATTCAACTTCTATTGATTATCATTAACAACAAATCGCACAGTTTGTTTGGGAAGGTAACCTCATAAAGAATTTCAATGAAAGTGATAATGTTAAACTTTTATAGTAGTCTGTTTTTCTTAAATGTTAAATTTTTTACTTGATATTTTCATTTTGAAAAATAATTGTTTCTTTATGATTTTGTTGTAGAATGGATAACATTTGCGTTACATTTAAGCATGTATGTTCAGATTACGAATATTCGAAGGAAGAAACATTCAATCCAACAACTGAAATATTAGTGGACTTTCTCAGATACATCCTATTGAAAGTGCATACACACTTATGTTTGGTAACAGATTTTGAACTACAGCCTGTCGATTCTTTATCAAATTTTGCATTAATCAAGAACATCAATGAGTTAATACCATCAACAGATTTGGAACTGTCAATTATAAATTTGGCAAAACCGAATACCACGAAGATAGAACATTTAATTAGGTACTTGATACATCTTATATGTGCATGTTATGAAATTAATTTTAAAGACTTAAGATGCAACGTGATCTGCTTGAAATCAGAGAGTCGAACCGAAATTAGTTTCGTTACGGTTTAAGTTTAAGATCTAAGTAAATGTTTATCATGACAAAATGTTTTTTATAAATTAGTTAAAGTTAATATTTAAAATCGAGTCGAATTACTTAAAGGCAAAGTTGAAAATGACTGAGATGCAGATTGTTTACAAAGTTAATGTTTTGAATGATATTAAAGAAATGTATGTCAAACATTATAAGAAGCAGATGCACACGTATATTGCTTGCTCCTCAAAATTGGAAAATTAGATCTTCAAATGTGAGATGATTTAGGAAGAAAAGAAAAATAATGAAATTGAATTTGATAAATAAGTTAACAGTTCCATGATGATGTTATTGAAATGCATAAACAATTGTTAAATTCTGATGCAATAAATAAATACTGTAAGAAAAATAAAATCTGTTTTCTCATACCTTGATGCAATGATAATTGTATAATGTGAATTTTATCATTTTTCCTAGCTTAGTATATGCTACAATTTCTTAGTGAGATGCATATGGTAATTCGGTAATCCTCTAACATTTTTGTTGCCAATGGATCAGAGCCAATTAATATACATGTTTGGTATCCCTGGTTATACCGGATATAAACATTCAGGTCTCATTTTACGTCTAATCTGTATGCAGTATTAAACTTCAATGGCAAAACGCCAAAGTTATCTTCATAAAATTTAGCATTTGGCACTTAGAGTTCTTCAGTTAATTGAGCTAAATAAGTTACTCGCTTCATTATAAAGTTAAACTAGATTAGGCATCGTTATAAATAATCCGTCTATTATCACAGAACTGCATGATTTGAATTCCCCAGCTCCAACTGAAGAACCTCTCTTGCCTACCCAACTTTATTCGAGGAGTATTGATCCCAGGAGAACAATATGGAGGTAACCGTAAAGTTCTTTCATAACGCCGGAATTCAAGATCGCATCTTCTTTGCACAAATTGCGCAAGTTACTACGGCTTAGTGTTTTGTTATAATACCCGTCGCATTCACCGAACTTTGCGTCCCATCTAATAATTTAAGCGGAACATTTGAATTGGAAAAGTTTGAATGTAGGAAACTATATGAAGGAAATATCATAATATTAATAATTTATTATTATGTGATTGAATAATCGATTATTCGTTCGTTTCGCGAGAAACATTCAATATTTCAATTTGTTGTGAAAATTAACTGGCAGTTTGATAACAAGTGGATAGATTGCACAACGAGAAACTTATCTAAGCAGCAAATATCAACAGGCTTGAATGCCGCCCGGCCATGTTGACAATCAATTTCCTTGATAACATTGGGACAACGCGCTGTTCCCAACCAACTTGATCTACCTTCAAGATTTGATAACGCACTTCATTATATAACATTATAGTTATAAGATTTAGTATATGGAAAGACTATTCGTTGAATTTATTTAATAAATTGTTAGATATTTTTGTTTCTAACTTGAATGAAATTGAATAAATATACGGTTTGTCGAACTGTGGATAATCTAAATTTCAAATTCTCGCAATCCATCACAACAGAATGCGAAATCGAACATTTTTTTTTCGTGTAGAGTGGTGCTTTCAAATTTGTTTGCAGGGAAAATGTTTGCACGATTTATCTTCTTCCTGGCAAAACTCTCCGAATGCTGTGTCTGCACATGCATTGGGAAATATTGGCCTAGATTCTATAATGGAAGTGGTAGCAGACGCGGAGGATGCATCTCGCATGCGGTAATACAAAGATACAAACTGGTAAAATACTTGTTATTGTTTCCTTTACTCGGATTTTTAATTATTAAAACAACATTTTTTATTTGTTCCCGTCATTCATATTCCGCTCTACATCTTCAAAAATTTAACAACATTAATCAATCGCAATTATTCTCTTCCAAATTCAACTTTTCATGTTTTTTGGTAACAAGAATATTGAAGTTTTAGATGTTAAGAAGTTAGAAGTAAAAAATATTTTTCTTAACAATTCTTATTTTGTTATTGTTGGAAATGTAGCAAAAAAAAAGCAAGGTTTCCTTTTTCATAACTTTGTTAACATAAACATTATTTACTAGAAATGTATAAAGAAAATACTTTTGTTAACACTTATTTCGCAGTAATAATTATGTCATTGTTGGAATTAGATTAAGAGGATGAAAGTGGACAAAGATAGGACAATTTATGAATTCCAAAGTAGAAGTGTTGTGAATGAAAGTTTAATGGATAAAAACAAACTATCGGGGATGAGATATTAAGAAGTACGAGGAAGCGATGAAAACAAACGGAGTGGAAGAAAGCATGCTGAAAGAAGTAAAAAAAGTGGATGAGGAGGCTATGGGTCGGCGAATAGTAAGTGAAAACGAAGCGACGACAACTTGGTTTACAATAGAAACAAAAATAAAGTAGCGCCATGGAAACAAAGGAGATCGAGTAGAGCGAAAGAAAGTAAATAAACAAGGCCGTGGAAGAGGATGAACCGAAAAAATAAAAGAAGGAACAAAAACTAATATTTTAAGTGGTTCGTTTATACTTGATGGCAGAAGATACACTTTGATAAGAAAATAAAGCAAAAGTTCAACTTTTCAAGTAATGATAAACGTTTATTTTGAGACAAATACATTTGGTTACGCACTTGGCATAAAAAGCGTTTTCATGGTTACCATAGAATGTTAGGTACTTATACTTTTTAACTTCAAGGTACTTGTGATATAATTGTATATGATAATAATTGAAATAATAGGAACATCAAAAAACCACAAATTACTAAGTAGTAAGTCAAATATAATAATTAAGTAAGTTGCCAAGTAAGAAAAATCATGTATTTAGAAACTTTTGGCTTCTTTATCAAACAAATCACATTATTAATCAATAATTTGTGTTGTAAATAATTTTATAAGCATATGTCTTTAAATAATCGATATATAATTATGTATAATTTGTTTACTTGTCTAAAAACAAGTTAATAAATGTTAAATCTATTGTAAAATTAGATGTATAATATAGGCTCATCTTAATATGCATATTTTCACAAATTATTCCAGCATTGAAAACACGAGGAATTTAATTCATGAGATTTAATATTATTATAATATTAGTTTCAAGAAACTCTTCATAAAGTGAATATTCATGTCTCGCCCGAGAATTTTATATAATAAACATGAGCTGGTTTGCGTTTCACATTAATTCATGGTCATGGTTTGTCGAACAAACGCTTATGTACGAAATACTAAAGATCCGTTAAAAGTTTGAATTAAATCTATGCTAAAATTGAATAATGTTATATAGTTTACGTATACAGCAATACCTCACATACTGCGACTTCGATCAGTGCGGATTCACAATAATACGGTTTGAATAACGACCTGAATGTTAATTGATAAAAAAAAAGATCGATTTTTCTCTTGTTGTATTAAAGACCTCGATTAGTCCTGTTTAGAAACAGTCCAGAATATTTACGAAAATGATTACCCGCACTATGCGAGGTCTTATTCTATATATAATATCCATTAGTAATATAAACTTATTTTTTTATATCTTTCTTATGCGACTTTTCGTTCAAGATATTTCGCTGGTAATATTGAGAAAAAAATGTCATAAAGAAAGCAGCCAGCTTTTTTACAAGTGGATGAAAGCTTCTGCATGATGGATAGTATAAAATTTATGTACTCTTCTCGATATGAATACGAAGAGGGTCCAAACCATTCACAGTATATTATTATATATTTTTTTTGCGAGACAAGAATAATGAAATGAATTGCTTTCCAGTCTCTCTATCTGTTGTGTAAAGTACGCTTTTACTTTTGATACGCAAATGTATGAGGTATGTAAATTTTATGAAATCTCCACATTTCAACAAAAATACAGATGTTGATGGTAATTAGTGAGAAATTAGGATCGATTAGGAATTAAAAGAAATATCGTATCAATTGAGTTCAGTGAATTCAATTTTTTAACTCAAGTAATATAGATTTTGTCAAATTTAATTATTGTGTAATAGAAATAACAAATAAACAATAGCATTTCTGTAAAGAATAGTTTAAAATCAAAGGGACGTAAAATCTTAAAATGGGCCCACGAAACTCTAGGGCCCACAAAAGGTATTTGAATTAGAATTCTAGTATGCATATTGAATTGCGTATGAGACACCTAAAGTGCTAAATCTGCCTCCAAAAATAAATGTGAATATTGTTACCAAATACTACTTTCCATTCGTGAATTTATAATTTGTCTATTTCTTTTTGAAATCTCAATTTACTGAAAAATAACTGAATAGAAATGTGTTTATTGCAAAATTGCTTTAATAAAATTGGAAATTGAGTAGCGAATTACAAATGCAAAATGGTTTGATATCGATGCAAATAAAGCTGAACATTTTTCATCGATTTTATAAATAAATATACATGCAAATAATGTATAGTAATGCAATTGGAATGTATTGAACATTCATTCGATCTTGGATAATGGAACGCTTTGTCACCTTTAATCGATTTTAAATTGAATTGCATAATATAATATTCACGAGAACTGAACGATTTCACGGTCCCTAAAAAATACATCAATTTCCATAATAATAAACAATGTAAAGTGATTTCTGCATTTTATGTAATTCCGCTTCGATGAAATAAATAAAATCTATGTATTTGGACCAAAATTTGAATTTTATAGTGAATCAGTTTTATAGTCAATCTGAATACAAAATAGTTATATAATCTAAATATTACATTTACATAATCTCAAATATTAAAAACAATACCTCACATAGTGCGGTTTCGATCAGTGAGGATTCACTATAGTAAGGTTTGAAAAAAATAAACTTTAGTTTGGAAAAATAAAAAATAATTCTAATAAATTGATATAGAAATTGTGTTTTTATACGGTTTTAAAGTCCTCGATTAGTCCGATTTCAAACAGTGCGGGATATTGACAAAACCGATTACGCATTATGTAATGTATTGTTGTATTTTGATAAAAAATAGTTATTTTATAGTGACTGAATATGAAAAGAAAATATGTTTTTATATATATAAAAAAAAACTAGAAAATATTGTAATTTACATTATCAAAAGCGTCACTAAGTTGGTTCATTTAGTTGATTTTTTTTGTATACTTTCTGAGCACTAGAATAAAGCAATATGAAAATACTTAAAAAGAAGGAATGATGAAATTTTAAGGTATAAAAAAACTTAATATAAACATGTAATAAAATGTATCAATTTTTGTTTCTTAAATTTTGAGAACTAAATAAATTCAAGAAGGTGTAAACAATGTATACAATGCACGAAAAGAGATGAAATGCATTATTTAAATGCAATTGTATCAAATTTGTATTTTTCATTCAGAGCTGACAGAGTTATTATTATATATAATCTATCGCAACGAGGAGAGCAGCTTGAGTTATTGGAGCAGAATTGGGAAGTTCTTTCAGCGAATATTGCTCGATCACAATGTGCGCTATTAGTTCCGGTCGCTTCAGAATTTCTTAAGGGAATCGATATACCAGACGACTACTGCATGTCCTCTCTCGTTTTTCTCTCTTTCGTAAAGAAAAGAAAGAAAAAATAATACATTTGCACGTGAAAAAGCGTCTTCTGGATGCCACACACGTGCAGTTTATTATTTATATCCGAGGGCTATTAAATAGTTTGCGAAATTTAATACATCTCTCGTTTGGGCTTTACTCAATAAAAAAAACGGTCATAAACTGGAAAACTGAAACCGCTGGATGTTAAGCGACAATAAATATAATTACGCATAATAATAACAAACAGAAAAGGCTCGTATACATAAATTTTTAAAACATAAATAATGCACCTTTTCATGTTTAATTTGCTTTCGAATTTATTTGGTAATTTAATATTTTCTATAAAAAGACGTGAAACAGAAGACCTAAATACTCGTTGGTACTTTAATGTAATCTTTATATTGTATACAAAAATGATTCGTTTTGTAATTGGAAACACCAAGTGACTATAAACCTACATTCAAGTAATACTTGTCACTTCTGTATAAGTTATTTTTTTATGTTGTATTATATTAGCTGATAATTTCCTGACTTTATCAAAAAGTACCACATATTTTTTCATTGAAAATATTGTTGAACTATGTTCAGGTAACAAAGGGTTAAAAATATAAAATATTGAAACTTGGTAAACTAAACCTAAAGCATTAAAATTTGAACTGTGAATTGTTTAATGAATTAATGTAGATTAAACCTTCTGCAATTTAGTAATACCTTTAATTTGAATCAATGAAAAGGTAGATTCTTTAATTTGTATTATTCATATTATATTTTAAGCAAATTTTACATTAAGAAATAGTTAAAATTGCAAACATTTTTGATGAAGTATCAAAATCTTATTAGTTTACCTAATTTTCGAAATTCAATTATTTTACTATAAAAACATATCAAAATACATTAATACAATTAAGATTATTTATGTGATTTTGCTTTTAAACTTGCTAACATGATTGTGTATTTCAGAACTTTCAGACAATTACTTAGTAAGTATTGCAGGAATCGTTAATATTCATAAAGTAATACAAGTAATTGGAAATTTGAAAGTATAGGAAAACAAACTATAGTAGTAGATTTTTGGTAATTATCATTTAGAACAGTGATTTTAAACCCGTCTTGAGAGAGAATCTAGATGTGCTGTGAAAATTTAACTACAGTTTTTAGTGTATCTTAAGACGAAAACATTTGGGTTAAAAAAAACTGTTAAACTAAGCAAAGTTATTTATTTGGAATTGTGAGTTGAGAAATAGAATTTGCATGTGAGGTAGTAGTGAGTAGTAATCAAGGTGAGGGGAATCTGCGTTTCTATTCCGTTTTCCCAATTACGTACGTTTGAGCCCACTGAACTTGGCTTTGTATTTGCCAGAGTAGAAACAAGGTTCAACAAGTATTTTGCTTTTACCATTAGCATCTAGTTTGTATTCGTTTCGACGGCTAATACCCTGGCTCTAATCCATTAACCTTAGTGGATTATTTACAATTGAATTTACCGCTTTACTGGGACACACACATACCGGTTGTATAATAGAATTTCGACGAATAGTTTCTGCTGCAACTACACGTCCATCAACATTTCAAATAAGATTACTTGTTTATGTAACTTTAGTTCATTAGAACAAATTATATAAAAAAAAGATTCACTATAGTCAGGTTCGAAAATTTGAAAACAGATTAAATTTTAATTGCGCAAAATAAGTTTAAAGAAATTAGTGCACAAAATTATTATTTTTATACATAAATTATCGTTATTTTTCCTTATACGAGTCTTTTGGTGCTCGATTAGTCCGGTTTCAAACAGTCCGGATTGCTGTATTTCTAAATGGTTTATTTAATAAACTTTGTATGAATTGTAATAAGGTAGATTTTCTGTATTAAAAACTGTAAGTGTGTAAATAAAAGTACATTTTCGTAACCAATTTTGTAAGAATTGTATAGTAGAATAAATCATTTTATATCTATACTTTTGGAAATGGTTGAATGACTTCAATAGACTCGTATATCAATTTTGCATGAATTTATAGTGTAGAGCGTGTTGAAATTTATAGTTTGATGCGCCGGAATCATCCTCACCTGTGCATTTCCTTCCTTGATGCAGAACGCCGTAAAGCAGGGATCCGCAATGGTCGCAGAACGTCGGCGATCCGTACGTGTGGGATTTAAAATTGTGTTTGGTGCGGGTGTCCTGAAACGGAAACAGAGATGCGGATGCATAATGACACGGCAGTCCTTTTTGTCCTGGGATTGATACTCACATCGGAGTCGGCTCCTTTGTCAGCGCCGGGACAAGTGAACGTAACGTACTCATGGCAACGCTTGTGAACAACGAAACTGCAAACTGTAACAAACGCAAACACCGCGTTAAGAGATTCCAATCGTTTTGCATGCAGATAGATATACCCAAACAGCAGGCAACAATTGTTGTTTACATGCGCTCGCTCGGCTCACTTTCAACCTTAATACATGTTATTATTCAGATTTTCAACTGTTTTATTTTTTGTTTTATTTATACAAAAACTCCCCTTTTTGTTCAGTTTAAAACACAAACTGTCACGAAAAAAAAATAATTCAATTACTGTCAAAAGTGACAGTATACAAAACATAGCCTTCTTTGAAATTAAAACAACAAAATTTCTTTAATACTCTTTCATTTGCGAATTGCTGATTGAATAATAAATTTTAATTAAAATCTAACAATTTCGAGAATATTTTATTGCTAATTGCAAACATACAGTTTTGTGTAATTTGCTTGTAAAACTTTTTTTCAAGAACTATGATTAACAAAAACATTCCTTTTTGTTAAGCTATAAACATAAACTGTCACCATAAAACAAATAGTTACTGATAATTCAATTACTGTCAAAAATGACAGCAAACAAAACATAGCCTTCTTTGAAATTAAAATAAAATAAATATAATTATAATCATTTTCTTAGACAATAAAAACAACAAAATTTGTATAATACATTTACAAATTTCTGATATAATAATAAATGTTTAATTTAAAACTAACATTTTCTTTAATAATTTATTTGCTATGACGATTTACAGCCAAAGTCGAAAATTCTGAATTTTGCACAATCAATTTATTGAATTTCACTAATTTCATCATTATAGATCTTCTGATTAAAATAAATTTCACTTAAAGTTTCTTAAACAAAATAATTTTATTGTTGTTATTTTTTTTTTCAAAATTTTCAAAAATTTACTTATAGACAGTTGAGAGAATTAAGGACGTTTTGTACAGATTTATAAACAATAATCTATTTGATAAAATACCATTACTTGTTTAGTAGAATTTCAATTCTTTACTTGCTGTTTTCTCAATTTTTTCCTATTTTTTGTACAAATTTATTAAAAATTATAAAGTTGAAATTGTTGTCATTACATTATTATGGAAATACTTTTAGTTTCCATTTTTTTTTACATTTACTTTTGATAATTATTAATATTAATTTGAGTAAATTTAAAATTTGCAATCCTAATAATAAATTGTTAAAAAAACTGTGTAATTATTAAAATTCATAATAAAACTTAAAAATAATAATCTTTATGTTTGTATCGTATTTCCCAGAAATGGCGACGCGCATTTACAACGTGAATTATGCAAATCAATCTCATAACTACAAACTACAAAGAAATACTCAGGCTCATGCATTTGCATAATACGAACACTTATTGTTCTCGAAAAAGTATTCAAATTATTCTGTAATTAAACGCTTGAAAATAATAAACAAGGTCATACAGAATTTATTCGGACACGACCAACGATTTCCACAGAAATGACTATTTAAAACGCAGTCATCTGCGAAAGTTATGTCCCCATTAATATAGCAAATTTTTTATTTTGTCCAAAAATATGTTGAGGCGTCAAAATATATACATTTGAATTAAGAGGAAATATGTCATCACTTTGCGTTTGGAATCGTGTCGTTATCCAACCGTTGCCAACCCAAAAAGAAGAAAATAAAAAAGAAAAGAATTGTAGATGAAGATATTACTGCCATGTGGATGCAATAAGATCGTCTGAAATTTTCTCATCTTAGATTTGTTGCGGGCGTTCTGTTCTAGTTTGGTTTATATTTATTTTTTCTGGACCGTTTATAAACATTTGCGCAACGCAACTTCCATCCAATATTAAGACACTGTGATTTCCGTTGGGATTTCTTTATTTTTATATATTTATTACACACAGTCAACGTTTACTTTGTACTTGTCATGTGACATTTTGTAACCTTATATGGAACAGTTTAATAGATTTCATCTTATTTGGATTTGTCTGAATATGATCAAATCATTGAGAGATTTATATTTGACAACGACATTTTGTCATTTTACTAACTTAACAAATTTTAAAAAAATGAGTAAAAGTGACATAGGTATTTTTTAATTAATTTATTAAAAATATATATAAATTCAAATTCAACTAAAGAATGATCTTATTTTATGGTAATTATTAATTAATTAACAAAAAAAATATAATTACAGAAAATATTCGTTTATCAATGAAATTTTATAATTTTACCAACTTGTCAAATTAATAAAAAAATATATCAGTAAAACAAATACAATACCTCGCATAGTGCGGCTCCAATCTGTGCGGATTTACAAGCGTCTGATTTGAAAATTTCATGTTTCTTTTGAAATTATTAAACAAAATAAAACAAAATACTTTTCTTTCTTCAAGCAGTCAGTTAAACCTATTATCCACACTCTGAAAAGTATTGTTATTTACAAAATGTCAACATGTCAAAGTGACATAGTGATTTTCATTTTTTGTGGTACATTTAACAATGAAATATTATCATTTTACCAATTTGTCAAATTGAAAAAAATAGTGCAACAAATATACAAAATTTAACACTATGTTGAAGTGTCTTTTGTTTTTTGTTGTGTTAATTAATTATATTCTTTAAATCAAACATATTTTTTACTATTTTTCCTACTTTACAAGCGTCGGGTTTGATAATTTCATGTTTTTTGTTTAAATTACAAAAAATCAACAAAATTATTTTTCTTTCCTCAAACAGTCCGGGATATTGGCGGAACCGATTATCCGCACTCTGCTATGTACAGTTTACAAAATGTCTAGATGTCAAAGTGACATAGGGATTTTTATTTTTTGTGGTATATTCAGCAATGAAATATTACCATTTTACCAACTTGTCAAATTAAACAAAACAAAACTAGTGCAACAAATATACAAAATGTCACACTATGTTGAAGTGCCTTTTGTTCTTCGTTGTATTTAATTATTGAAATTCTTAAAATCAATCATTTTCTTTTAGTATTTTTTTCCTATTTTGATTAGGTAACATTATTGGAAATGTCTAACAGCAATTTCTAAGCTTGATTACGACATAGGGTTTCACCTCGAATCGTCGACAAAGCAATTGACATTTTTAGGTTTTCATTTAATTAAATTCATTAGTTTTTTGTTTTATTTTAATCAATATATTTTAATTACCATATGATGTATTAGTTGTTATATTGATATTAGTTATGAGGATTCTCTTGATTAATAATATTATTATTTTTAAAGTTAAATTGATGGATTAAATCCACCTAATACAGAAACGTTGCATATTTGTATTTGCAAGTTTTCAAATGTAAATTTACACCTAATGTACACTAAATAATATCAACATTTATTGACCCAGAAAAAATAAACTACATACTATTTCTTATTTTAATTTCAATGCTCGTTCAATTTGGCATCTGTTTGTCTTACGTTTAAAGTAAAAATAAATTGATATTTTCGTGTTTTCTCTCATTTTAAAAGAAAGATTTTATTCATGAAAACAACATTAATAATTGAATTTCATTAATACTCTAATACTCCTTTTGTTATTTATTAGTTATTATGATATAAAAAAAATAGTCTATAAATACAAGAGAAGTTAAAAACAACTGTTGAGATATTTAAAAACACATGAATACTTTTTTTATTAGTTGCATGGCCTAGTTATTTAAATAATGATCATCGTTAAAAAAAAATATGTTACAGTACTTGCATATATTGCTTATTGAGTGTAAATGAGCATTGTTAGTGCATCATGCTTAGTGCGCACAAATTGTCCGTACAAGTAGATTAGAAATAATAATAATAAAAAAAAGAAGTGCAGTCGCGTTTTTTTTTCTTCCTGTTCATTCTTTCTTCATTTTATTTCTACCAATTTGTCCGTTTAATTATATGAACTTGCGCGTGCATCGAGCATTCCAATAAAATAAAAGAAATCACAGCAAATTTCTTTTGTTTCTGGTGACTAGACTAGAAATTATGATTAGCGATGAGTTCTTTATTATTACCTTGACACTGGTATCCTTGCTTTCCAAAACCCCTGCAAAAAAAAAGAAAGAAAACATTAAAATTATTCATTTTTTAAATAAGATGCAATACCTCGCATAGTGCGGCTCATTGTTTTCCAGACTGTTTGAAACCGGACTAATCGAGGACTTTAAAACCGCTCTAAAAGAGATTTAACTACTTAAATGGATCAATAAACCGATTAATTATGAATACAAAAATAATTTTGTTTACAATTTTCCTTAGTTTTACTTGAAATTTCTAAACCGGACTATAGTGAATCTGTACTATGAGAGGTATTTCTGTATAAGTATATATTAGTATATAGACCTGAAGTTATTTCAACTCGTTTTATTGTATAAGTATGAGAACTGTTCAGATCTCTTTACTTATATTATCATAAGTACATCTGTTAATTATAATTTTTATCCAAAATCATGATTATGATCTCCCATCCAGCTTAAATTTTATATACATTTATTATATTGATCTTTTCGCAAATATTTTCGCTTATTTTTCGCAAATTTTAAAGAATAAATAAAGGTAAAATAAATTTGATTTAGCAAATCATTGTTGAGAGACCAGGAACCTTTGTTAAATGAATAGTCATTCTATATAACATTGTGAGAACTGATTCATTTATACAGTCAGAGGAAATAGAAATTGGTGTTATGCAATAGGAAATGTGTAAATTATGATTGATCGTTCTACATTTTCTTTTGTATTGTAACCAAACACATGAAATTACTTTCACCATATTCACTACAATTTTCAATTGAAAACACTAACAAAACATCATTTTATTAATTATAGTTAATTTAAGTGCTTTAGCTAGATAGATTTATATGTTTTTATAATCGTTTTGAATTGTTTCTATATTTCATCGATTTTTTAATTTGTAAAATTTACTAATTTTCCATTGAATATTTTCATCCTTTTTGATGATTATTATTTATAATTTGATTTTTTTTTTTCTGTAAGTATTTAATTTTTTATTAGTAATGTTTTCTAACTTTTCTTACTTAGCGCTGTTATTTACTAGTTCTATTTTTCTTACATTGTTAATATTTTAGCAATTGAGACCAGAAACATGCAATTAAAAAACTTTATAAAAACATTTTTGTTCCTTTTTCTGATAGTTGTTTCAATATGTTACTTTTAATTAGAATTTCGCGTTTTCTTTCGGTTTTTATCTTTTTACTTTTTACTTATAAGTGAGACAATCTTCGTTATCCATATTGGTTTAATGGAGAACGACATCTGGAATGCTTCGGTAAGAATGTTTTAATGGTTAAATCGACATTTTCTAGTATAGATTTCGATGGAAACGTTTAGGAAATATTCCGTAAATTGGTTGAAACTTATACTCACTTTAATTGCAATGTTTCAATGATTATACTTGTCATTTCATAGAATTATTTTAAAAGAAAAATAAATGAAATATTCTGTAAATTGTCCTCATTTTAATTAGAATATTTCAATAACAATTTCATATTTTCAAATTATAACAAAATCGTCATTTTCTAGCAAAAATTTCAAACCGGACTATAGTAAATCCGCACTGATCGAAGCCGGACGATGAGACGTAATACTGGATGATTATTTTTTGGTATATTTTTTTTGATAAAAGCAATTGTGAAATATTCTGTATTTTTTTTATTCTGTCTCATTTTAATTACAATATTTTAATGATTAAAAATTTTATTTTCTAGCAACATTTTCAAACCGTACTATACTGAGTTCACATTTTAATTTAATTTCAATGAATAAAATTGTTATTTTTTATTATAATTTTCGATTGAAATTTTTACAAAATATTCCTGAATTAGTTAAAACTCGTACTTATTTCACAATGTTTTAATTCTTAAAATCGTATTTTTTTACCAAATCTTCAAACCGTACTGTGGTGAACCCGCTCTGATCGAAGCCGCACTATATGAGGTATTACTACACAATGTTTCAATGCTTAAAATAAATATTTTCAAGTATAATTTTGGTAGAAACATTTGTGAAATATTCTGTAAATTGGTTGAAACACATCCTTCGTACTGTAGTGAATCCGCACTGATCGAATCCGCACTATGTGAGGTATTACTGCACAATGTTTCAATGATTAAAATAATTATTTTCAAGTATAATTTTTGATAGAAACATTTGTGTAATATTCTGTAAATTGGTTGAAACACATCCTTCGTACTGTAGTGAACCCGCACTGATCGAATCCGCACTATGTGAGGTATTACTGCACAATGTTTCAATGATTAAAATAATTATTTTCAAGTACAATTTTGGATAGAAACATTTGTGAAATATTCTGTAAATTAGTTGAAACACATCCTCCGTACTGTAGTAAACCCGCACTGATCGAAGCCGCATTATGTGAGGCATTACTGCAAAATGTTTCAATGATTAAAATAAATGTTTTCAAGTATAATTTTAGATAGAAACATTTGTTTAATATTCTGTAAATTGGTTGAAACACATCCTCCGTACTGTAGTGAACCCGCACTGATCTAATCCGCACTATGTGAGGTATTACTGCACAATGTTTCAATGATTAAAATAATTATTTTCAAGTACAATTTTTGATAGAAACATTTGTGAAATATTCTGTAAATTAGTTGAAACACATCCTCCGTACTGTAGTGAACCCGCACTGACCGAAGCCGCTCTATATGAGGTATTACTGCACAATGTTTCAATGATTAAAATAATTATTTTCAAGTACAATTTTTGATAGAAACATTTGTGTAATATTCTGTAAATTGATTGAAACACATTCAATTTAATTGCAATATTTTAACGATTAAGCTGTTATTTACTAGAGTATTTTTTGATTGAATTATTTACAAATGATTCGGTAAATGTGGAAACAAAAGTTCAATTTAATTACAATGTTTCAATAATTAAAATCGTTGTTTTCTATTTTAACGATGAAAACATGTACGAATTGTTTAGTAAATTGGTTGAAACTCATACATATTTTAATAATAATATTTCAATCATTAAAACTGTGTTTTTGTAGTATAATTTATGACTAAAATATTCAGTAAATTAGTTGTATAAATCCATATTTTAATAACAATATTTCAATGGTTAATATCGTTTTTTTGTAGCAAAATTTTCGATTGAAACATTTATGAAATATTATGTAAATTAATTGAAATTCATCCTTATTTTTCAAATTCTAATCGTTATTTTTGAGTATGATTTTCGATTGTAATATTTACGAAATTATTAGGTTGAAACTCATTCATATTTTAACTACAATATATCAATAATTTTCTATGAAGAACTTTGTGAAATTTTTTGTAAATTGTTGTTATAATTACAATGTTTGAACGTATAAAATCGTAATTTTTTAATATTATTATCTGTGAAAAGTTTATAAAATTTTTTGAAAAATGATGTTCATCCTTAGTTTATTTACAATACGAAATAAACAAAAAAGACAAAAATATTTTTGTGTATAAATTATAGAAAATTATTAATAAATTGGTTTAAAAGATATTTCAAAATCGTAATTTTCTAGTAATTCTTTTCTACTGAAACATTTACAAACTTTTCTGCAAATTCTTGACGTATGTAATTAATTCGTTTTTAATTACAATACGAAATTAATTAAAATTTTAAGCGAAAAATAAATGTGTATTTTTATATTCTGCACAGAATAACAAATGTAAGTAATTAAACGAAACGCAAATATTTAGATTGGGTCTCGCGACCTCAGTGTAATTAGCAATTTTCGAAGAGTCTCAGCGTTAAGAGCGAGCGGTTACCGAAAACCGTACTTCGGTTGACGAATGTTTACTAATTAGACCGACTCGAAATTAAACGCGTCTTCTGAAGGATTTATTTTCCTCCATCGTTAACAGAAAGAAAAAGAAAAGAGCAATAGAAGAAATGCTCGAAGAAAGCGACAAGGAAACGAGATGCAATAAATCAGCGTAACTTCGCAAACGCGAAACTTAATTCAATTTGGAAACTTTTGCAGATATCTTCGTCGTCGTTTCTGCGGGTACGTTTCATTCATTAAATACTTTTTTTGTACTTTTTTTCTTCGTGTTTTATCTTTTAAATTTCATATTGCAATTAGTGCTGTGCATGCAACGCTGGTTCCATTCAATGCTCGCGTATTGATCTGCTCAGGTTTCATACAGGTGTACACCGCAAATGCAGGGATTTGTAAAACCGATGGCAGATTTAATAACTCCATTGAGCTTGCTAATTCCAACCAGAGTTTGGTCCTTTTTATTTATTTATCCATACGAAAGCTGGGGTTTACAAAAGCTGTATGGATTTTATTGCGACTTCTGCAATATTGCAGATACAATATATTGGGTAAAGTAAAAAGTTCTGAGCGTTTTGTCCCATACATCGAGCTTCTTTTGAGACCAGCCTTATGCAAATTTTTGCATTTGATACTGTATTGGGTCCATGAACAACACATTTGTTTTTGGTCGTAGTGGTACAGAATAATGTATAGAATTTTCTCTTTTTTTACATCCATTTTGGAACTCTCTAACACATAACTGGATTCACTAAACACAAAACTGTCAAAGAACTTTTTTAAAGCATTATGTCGCCTTTAGGTCGGAATATAGAATGACAAGATATAACTTACACATCGCGAGATATGGCTCAGTAAAGCCATGACTTTAGTATCATGTATTCTCATGTATGACTAATTATTAAAATGAAAAAAGTATCATGTAATATGTAACATGTTACTTGTACATGTAACGAAAAAGGCTCAGAACATTTTGCTTCACCTATTACTTATATTGTTGACATATATTTCGTTCATATTATTCAGAATGTGCATATTTTTATGGTTTAAACCTTTGATTGTTTATGTCACTATTTAAATTATAAAGAGATGTGAAGCAGACCTAAGTACCTGTTGGTAATTTAATATAATCTTTATATTGTATATGAAAATTGATCCGTTTTTGTAATCTAAATCACTATCATTACCAAAAAATTCCACATATATTGCTGAAATTTAATAAAAATTTAATTTAATTTTAATGT